TGCAGGATGGTCTTAGGCGACCCCTGTGAAAGGGTCGTTCGACCGCCAAAGGGGTCGCGACCCACAGGTTGAGAACTGCTGTTCTATGTGGATACCTTTCTCTGTCAGTGCATTTAGATCTGTGCTCATTGTTAATGGCTGCATGGTATTCTATTGAATATATTTATTCTAAATTACTGTGATTTAATCTTGCTGAATATATGTTCTTAAAAATAATGCAGTTGTAATCGTACATACTTTCATTCTCTTTTAGGTGAGCAGAAGGCCTTTTCTCCCGTACAGCCCTGGAGGAATGAGAGCGTGCGCACTGAGTCTTGCCAGGGTTTGAGGAAAGACCAGCACAGCCCCTCCTACCAGCAAATCAACTGCATCGACGGTGTCATCAGGTAGGAAGCCCGCGTTTTGAGAACATGTTTTTCCAAAGGCCGAGCCATGCCGGCCGGGCTGTAAGTGAATTTTAAATCGCCTGACCCCGTCTTTCACGTGCTGTTTTGTAGGAGTCCGCTGAACGAGGATGTTTTTGCTGCCAGAATAAGCAAGATGGACAATAACGACAAAGACATAACGGAATTACAGGGACAGATTCACAAACTCCTGTTACAGGTAAAATGGGGGAGATTTAAAAAATGGACATAGGATTCCCATAATTGTGTTTTATTGTAATATTCTGTCTAGTAAAGTCACTTCACAAAAATAAGCTGCGGAGAAAGATCCTGACCCTCTGCATTCCAGAAATCTCTGTCTTCCTCTTTTTTGTTTTTAAAGGAAACTTTATTAATCTTTTTTTCTATGTTAAATGCACAGAATATTCTGTAAAAACCCATTTTAAGACAACGAAACTGTGTCACAGTGAGCGGTGAGACAGAGAAGTCATTTCTGAGCGAGAGAATTCTTCCTGTGTCCCAGGCTCCCCAGGGGCTCAGCCTCGGGTTCGGGGTTTTGGGGATGGTTCCCATTTTAAAGGTGGGGCGAGCCTGGCCGGTCTCAGTATCTGGTTGTTATGAGGCAAAAGTAGGAGAAACTGCTTGTTGGAAACAAATACCCGAAATGGTTTCCGTTAGAGATTCCGTCACAAACTGTGATGGGCTGCTGGTGTGGCAGGTCTTTCAGAGACGCTCCGGTCCGTAAAGCACCTGTCAAGTCCGTGGGGACTGGGGTGTGTATTTCATTTGTTCTGTCTGCTCTAAGCGCAACATAAAGAACAAGTGATTTTCATATTTGGGAAAATTATACTATGGCTTTAAAACAATATTTTCCGTTCCAGAAATACCCACTTAGATTAGAAACTAGACTTTGCCCTTGAAAATTACTGAAATGAGGGGAATGTCTTTCATGTCAGACATAGGGTTCAAAGCATCAACCCTCGCAAGCCTACTTTAGGGTGTCAGAAATATTAGTCTTATTTTCTGATGAGTTTAGGTAAGCTCTGAGTGGGTCATGCTGCGTCCCCCCCTACCCCCCCGACCGCAAGATAGTAACCCCCAAATGGGACCTGTGTCCTTGCAGCCAGTCCACGGGAGCGCCTCCAGTGGCTACGGCAGCCTGGGGAGCAGCGGGTCCCAGGAGCAGCACGTCAGCGTGGCCTCCTCCGGCGAGTCCAGCGGGC